GACCGGCAGTAAAGAAATTGGTCTGTAGTTATTGAATAACTGTTTGTCCCCAGACTTATAAATGGGCTTAATAACAGCTCTTTTTAATAAGGTGGGAAACACACCTTGGTGAAGGCAGAGATTCATTAAGTGAACAATTTCAGCTATTATTGATGTATATGTTGATTTAAATATCTTTGTATTTATTTTGTCATGACCACTTCCCACATTGCGCATATTGTTCACAATATTTTTTACTTCATTTTCATCTGTCGCAGAGAATCGATGAAGTGGTATTCCTACGTAGTTAGGAAGATAATCCAATGGATTGCATTCAGTTTCTCTTATCTTGCTTTTCAGCTCCTTTCCGATGTTCGTGAAAAATTTGTTAAACATAGTAACTATTTCTTTGGTGTCTTGGACTAGGCCTCTGTTTGTTTTAAATGCCTCAGGTAATTTGATGTTTTCGGAGGAGCCTGTGGACAATTCCTTGATGATATTCCACGTTTCCTTAGAGTCTGATGTTTTAAGTTTAGCTTGGATATATGCTTTCTTTGCTTCTCTTATTATTTTCACAAGTAAATTACGATATTTGCGATACTTATTTGTATTTTCAAGCACCGGCTCTTTATTTTTTAACAGAAATAGTTCATTTTTTCTGGATATCGAGGCCAAGATGCCAGGCGTGATCCAGGGTTTAATTGGTGTATTTTTTCGCGATGGTACAAAAGTTTTGCTAAACTTTTGTATTCCAACAGAATAAGATCGAATTATTTTTTCATAAGCTAAGTTAGGATCAGTTACATTAGTGAGGTTTTGTAAATCGTTCTGCAAATGCATTTGCAGATCAGTGATTTTATTGTAGTTAAATGATGTGATTTGTTTCTTCGGCCTCATATTTCTTTGTTTATATGTTTTTAAGAAAACATATATTGGGAAGTGGTCAGATAAGTCATCGTAAATTACTCCTGTATCCTTGGCCAGTGATATATTGTTACAATATATATTATCTAGCAAAGATAGCCTTGTTTCGCTTTGTCTAGTGGGAAGTGATATCAGGGGAAGAAAGCCAAAGGACAGCATCATGTTAAAGAATATCTCCGCACCATGATCATTTCCTAGCGCACAAAGGAGTATACCAAAAATCTGCAGGTAAACATTCATCAATATTAGACATTCTTATTTTACTTGGTCGCTGCCAGTATGGTCCATTGGTCTATAAAAGGTTTACTTATGAAGTTTGCCCCTGTACGTTTTGGAATGATTAAAAACAGATGGGCTGGGGCATGGGTTGTATGTAATTTAGCAGTGTCCTAGAATTGGTTTTGAGCTAGGGTGTCAAGTGGAAAATTCAGACCAAGAATGCGCGGAGTGGAAAACTTGGTATTCTTATAGCAGGCGTCTCACATGCTGCCACCGGTTTGGGAAAAGTCGCTAGATTCGTCAGGTCTAGAGATATTTCTACCAATTCGCTATATAGGGTAATTACATAGCGGTGATTTAAAAAACGGCGTCAGTTTTTTATGAGGGGGAGGGGCAGAGGGGGGGGGGGGAGTACAACAGATAACTTCTTTTTCGGGAACGCCTGATCGGAGTCAGGCTTAAGCAAGGCTGCGTTGGAAAGCGTCCGAGTAGGTAAGCCTAATGGCTAATTAGTAACGCGAATTATCATCGAATACGGGATACTGGGGGGGGGGGGGGGTGGTGCGTGGGGTGGTGCCCCCTGACCGATAGCTCGGGAACGGCTGATCGGAGCCAGGCTTGCAATGCGGCGTTGGAAAGCATTCGAGTAGGCAATCCTAATTAGTAATGCAAATTATCCTCGGGATACGGGGGGTGCGTGGGGTATTTCCCCCCTGACCGATAGCTCGGGAACGACTGATCGGAGCCAGGCTTGCAATGCGGCGTTGGAAAGCGTTCGGGTAGACAATCCTAATTAGTACCGCCCCCTCCCCCCACGCGCCCCTCCCCCTAGTATCCCGATGATAATTTGCATTGCTAATTAGGCTTGTCTACTCGACCGCTTTCCAACGCCACCTTGCATGCCTGGCTCCGATCAGCCGTTTCCGAGCTACCGGTCAAGGGGCAATCCACCCACGCACCGGCACCCCCCCCCCCCCCCCCCAGCATCCCGATGATAACTTGCATTACTAATTAGGATTGTCTACTCGGACGCTTTCCAACGCCGCATTGCAAGCCTGGCTCCGATCAGCCGTTCCCGAGCTATCTGTCAGGCAGGGGGTAACCCCCCCCCCCCCCCAGTATCCCGATGTTAGTCTGCATTACTAATTAGGTATGTCTACTCGACCGCTTTCCAACGTCGCCTTGCAAGCCTGGCTCCGATCAGCCGTTCCCGACCTATCGGTCAAGGGGCAATCCCCCCACGCCCCCCCCCCCCCAGCATCCTGATACTAATTTGCATCACTAATTAGGCTTGTCTACTCGACCGCTTTCCAGCGTCACCTTGCAAGCCTGGCTCCGATCAGCCGTTCCCGAGCTATTGGTCAAGGGGCAATCCCCCCCACGCACCCCCCCCCCCCGCCCCTCCTCCCAGTATCCGATGATAATTCGCATTACTAATTAGCCATTAGGCTTGTCTACTCGAACGCTTTCCAACGTGGCCTTGCAAGCCTGACTCCGATCAGGCGTTCCCGGGAAACAAGTTATCTGTTGTACCCCCCTTGCCCCTCCAGAAAAACTGACTCCGTTTTTGAAATCACCGCTATGTTATTAGTTATTACCCTATATAGCGAATTGGTAGAAATATCTCTAGACCTGACGAATCTAGCGACTTTTCCCAAACCGTTGGCAGCATGTGAGACGCCTGCTATAAGAATACCAAAAACTTGAACTAGGCATAGCATAAGCATAGAGCTTCATAACTTCCACCTACGTTCTACACTCTACAGGGCCAAGATCTGGAAAAGAACATAGTCATCATTCATCAATATAGGGGACATAGGTACCGTAAAATGGGGTGTTAAGGGACAGTGGGGTGATAAGGGACAGTTGCGTGGGAAAAACTTTGAGTCATGTTAAGTTCCTAATTTGAGAAGGTTGAATAAAAACTTGAGTGTTGTAGTTGACACTGTTTTGTTCTTGACTATAGGATAAAATGGCATGGTTTTTCATGCAAGTGATTTGGTTCAAAAATGGTTTTGAAAATCATGCTACATTTTCACAAAATTGAGACATCTCCAAAACTCTGTGTGTACCACATAGACTGGTAGGTGTACAGGTAAAATGAATGCATAGGTGTATTGTCACATGTATTGCACATGTTTCCTGAAAAACTTATACAAATCCACCCATTCATTCATCATCCTCTTCCTCTTTTCCAGACACATGCATATTTTGAGGTGGATGTGGGGTGCTAAGGAACAGGGAAGAAAACATAAAAAATAATGTCTAAATAAATTTTCAAAAAGTTTTCTTTGAGTAGGCATGGAAAACACCAAATTCCACACAAAATGCTGGCAAGTTCATGCTTTCATCTCTAACACATCTTAAGTTATATAACAAAACACCTCAAAACTCCCTTAACACTCTCTTTTACAATGATGGGTCAATGAGGTTTGATGTAGGTTAACGTGATGTCATCATAAAAAGGCCAAAATAAAGAGGGCAACATAATGACAAGTGAATAGCTTCAAAATGAGTTTGTTGATGACAGAAGGGTACTTTTTAGTTCTGTTTACCTTATAATAAGCACATTTTCCAGAAGCGTAAACTGCATTACATGTAATTGGCTAAAAAGGCCATTAGTGGTGAATGAACCTGACTTGTTTTGTGACAGAATATGCAAAACATTTCAATAAATAAATTGTGTGCCCTTTCACACCCCAATTGTGGGCATTTGATGACCATTTCTTGGAATAATATAGGTGTCCCTTAACACCCCACATTGGGGTGCTAAGGGACAGTGATGAAAAATAATAAAAAATAATATGCATGTATATATTTTAAAACTTTAATGTAGCAGGCATGTAAAGCACCAAATTCCACATAAAATGCTGACAAGTTGATTCTTCTATCCCCAACCCTTCTTGAGTTATATAACAAAACACCTCAAAACTGTCCCTTAACACCCCATTTTACGGTACCTGAGTAGTGCGTACCAATCAAACTGTTACAAACTTATCACAGGTATTGTAATATCCCATGATTGAACAAAATAAGGCAATTGGGAAACAGTGTTTCATTTTTCAGCCTTTTTGGTGGCAAATCACACCTAATGGGGAAAATATTTTCATACCTAAAATATGAATGACCAACTTTACTTCATCTCTGAAAAGAGTTTCATGTATTCCCAACAGCCAGTTCACTTGTTACTTGACAGTTGATGCACCCACATCCTTTTGTTCCACACCCTGTCAAGATCCTGACATGAAATCCTGGTTTATCAGTTAGCATAAAAATTAGCATTACACCATTTTGCAAAAATACTGCAGTTATTTACTTTCTTTTTTTCATCCTAGGATGTTTTTCTTCATCAGCACACCCAGCCAATATCCAATTTTAGAACACTGTTGGGAAAACATCACATCAAATAGTTTGCAACTTTACCAAGAGTCCAGATTTTTAGCCACCTAAATGCCCCCCCCCCCCAAAAAAAAAAACGGTTTCAGGCAAGAGCAGGTATGCAAGTATGTGATTTAATGCTCACAGTTCACCCGAGTATACTGAGGCACATGGCCGCATCGTCAATAATCTAGGCATACAAACATTAACTTCAGCAGGCTCATGCAGGCAGAGTATTACAAAATGAGAAAAGATCGACAAGATTTACTTTGCGGGGCGCTGAGGGCTTCCTTAGCAATATTATCAAAAAAGTGTTCGAGCTCTTACTTCAAACCAAAAACTTGAAACTGTAGCCTAGAATCTAAATAAACAGTCAACTTGAACTAGGCAATAAGTTAGGTATGCACCAAAGCCTTATCAAAAATGTTCCCTAGCTTCTGCAAGTAATATCAGACATCTATAAAAAGGAAAATTATCATATCTCCAATAACACAACTCACCCAGTGTAGCGTGCACCTATACTCACTTTTTTATCAACGGAATTTATCACTGTTTTTCACTTATTATTAGTTCATTATAGAGTTTTCAGTGGTTTTTCGTGGGTTTTTCAAAACCTTTTGTTTGAAACATCTGCGCCAGAGCCGTCAATTCTGTTATAATGTGCTCTAAAACACAGCAACGATTTGACATTGCCCACTAATTCACTGCAAACACTTTAAGACTTTATTTTCTCAAAAAGCATTTAAAAGCCAACGTTAGTGCTTAAAAATGAAAGATTGACTGATGTTCTATGATTTGAAATGGCTTTTAAGTTTTAATGTAGAGAAGCATCAATTTATGACACTAGACTACCGACTACGAGCCAGGCTCGAAGTGCACCCTCGGTGACGTCATTTGTCCCTGCCGCCCGCTGAGAACCGTGCACGCAGGGCCCAATGGGGTGACTACGATGACTACGGCCTGCGCACCTGCGCAGTTCTCTGGGGCCTGCGTACCTACCTGTAACATTTCCTGACATGCACGTGATTATTTTTAAAAATGTTATGTTTCGCAATGCTATGACCTGACCAAAAGTATTATAAGTTTTAAATGTATAATTGATGTTATTTTAAGTAGAAGATTGATAACTATCAGAAAATCAATCGATGCGAATTGACGAGAGGATCACGATGATGCCCTTAGTTTGTTCATATCTTGACTAATTCGAAAGGTATTCGAGAAAAACTCTCCATATGTAGCGCCGCCATATGCAGTGCCTAGTGGGTGCCTACCTACATGCCAACTTTCAGCGCAATCGGCCAAGTAGTTACCGAAATATTGCAACAATTACAAAACTGACACCTCTTCCTTTTGCACGTGGCACTTGCATAAGGGGTCACCCACGTGCATCGGGAATAGTCCAATACTTGGTAGAAGGAATGAAGCTACCCTACAAAAACTACCGCCTGTAAATCGGTCAAGTGGTTGCTGAGATATAAACCTCGCAAAAGCGTCCGCACGGCCGGCCGGCCGGTCGGCCGGCCGCTCATACTCAGAAAGTTCGCAGCGGAACCTAAGGAAAGACTACCTACACTCAGAAACAGTTTTTAGAACATTCGATGATTGGTTTACTCCGAGGTATCCGGCCAGTCTCAATTTCCGGTAAATGCTCTTGACACGGAGACATTAGATGTCGAAATTTCCAGAAAGCCAAGGTTTACTATGCCGACTATCTCAATCAATCTCAACATCGATACAGCGACCTTCTTTGAGATAACATTGGAAGTTTTTAAGGCCGTGCCGTTGTCCAGAAGACCCCCCAGGTGTCTCCATGAACGAATGTCTTGACGGTCCGCGGATTCGATCCGCGCGCTGCACATCAAAAGAAATTCTTGCTAGCGATCCCCCGTCCAGGAGATTTCCCAACAACTGCGCATTTGAACGCATTTGAACGGCAAAATGCCATCAAAGGTGAACAAACATCCACTCTATCACTGCACATCATCCACACTTGGCCAACGACCAACGTCACCACAAACGCTGCCAATCTCTAAAAAAAACACGACCGAAGTCGTTACGACAGCCTGTCAGCCGCCGCCGCCGCTGGTACAGAATGCCGTCTGTAGCCTCTACAAAAAGGTGCCTCGGTAGCTCAATGGGTAGAGATGCGGATCGTTAATCGAAAGGTTGCCGGTTCGATTCCGGGCGCGCCGCGACTTTTCCCATGTATACCAACGTATGGTCTCCAAAGAGACCAATGTACACCAGCGTATGGTCTCCAACGCATTATCTCCAGAGATAAAAATGTTGGTGGTTTAACTGAAGCCCAAATAAAAAACAAAATTGTCTAAAAAAGGGTGGCTCTTTGCAAAGACGTGCCAGGTGCCTCCGAGACAACCTAATGGGCTTTTCTGTTTCTGAGTGTACGCTCGCTTCGCTCGCTCCGTAATCAGCTAATGAGCAGCATGGCTCTTTCCTGGAAAACTGCGTCTCGGATACGAAAAATAAGATTGAAAATTGTAACCAGTAAAACGCCTTTTGGGCGAAGAACGAGCGAGCGAGATAGTGAGCCCTGCACGTGCGGGAGGGCGAGAGGGTACTTCCAACGGGCCAGTGGCGCAGCCAGGATTTCGTTTTGGGGGGGTCATCGCTTCCAAAGCGGGCCCCCTAGTGTGCGGGCCCCCACCCATTTTTCAGAATCTCTCCATATTTCATACGCATTCTGCTGGGCGGGCCCCCTTTACCTGCACGATAACCCTGACTCCTGAGCGAGTTTGAATCAGAAAATTTGCATAGAACAGTAGCTCGGTAATCACCCGGTCTTCACTTTTTACGCAAATTGACCACGACAGAAATATGTTACTATGACGTATGACTTCGTATCTTTCGAGTCCGATATGAGCCCCAATTCCGCAATATGCATAGCATATTATATGCAATCGGAACTGTTGCCTGCTTCTGTCGCACAAGATTTAAAAGTACTAAGTAGTCCCATGTGCCTGTCCTAAGTCATCTATTGGCTGCTGTAGTAGATTGTGCTTTTATTCTTCTTCATTACGTGAATTCGCTCGTAAGAAGTTTTAACCCTCGCCGGCACAGGGGGGAGGGGTTGATGCAACCCCCTAAGGTTTTTTTTCGCGAAGAACTCGCGTAAAAAAGCGGCTGATCGCGACGTAACTTCCATAGTGCGCTGAAATTCGCGCAACTTATAGAACAAGGATGGGTAACGTGCCTGTGAAGAGTCACAGCTCGATCGGGCCGGTGGTGAGCACATGGCGCGTGCTCAAAAAGTGCAAATTCGCGTCATAGACTTTACATGCATAAATCGGCTTGCAAAAATGGGCGACAATGGCTCAACTTGCCCGACACGGGTCCGGTCCCCGTGCAGTATCTCGGTAACCGTGGGTCCGATCGGCACGAGGAACACAGTATCGTGCATGAGAATCGAACGGGCTATCGAATGGTGTGCGGTTCAGGGATGGCACGCGCCACGTGCACCCGTGAGGGCACTTATGCTTGAAAAATTGACGTTTTGGACGGATTTTGGACTTAATGCTATTTTTGGGTGACTGTCAGACGGAGCGGGTTCAAACAACGCTTGTTGGCAAGAGAAATGTACCTACCGCCTCTCATGGGAAAATTGTGAAAAGCTAATTGATCAAAAACAAGGTGGAACAAATTGCTGGAGAAAATAGCATTTGCTTATGACTTACTTAATTACAGGGGTTTTGCTACATAACCTGGTATGTTTGACAATTGAAATGGGCATAGATTGGAAGAGCATTCAATTGTGACCAAGGTCCAATCATCGCTTTTGCATGACGAGCAACAATATTCTTAAGAATATAAATGTTTCAAACCTCTACATAGTAATTCATCGATGGCTTTCACTCTTCAATAACCTACGCCAACCTATGTCATGAAATACACTTGGCATGTTCTATAGTAGAACGCATGGTTATTACCAGTAAAACGCCTTTTGGGCGAAGAACGAGCGAGCGAGATAGTGAGCCCTGCACGTGCGGAAGGGCGAGAGGGTGCTTCCAACGGGCATGCGCAAAGCACCCTTCTAACTGGTCGCTAGCGGTGTGCCAAATTTGAACGCAATCGGCCCAGCCGTTCCTGAGATCTGGAAGCGGCATTCTGCACGTGCGCACGTGCAAACGGGGTCAAAATGACTTTTGCACGGCACCCTACTAACTGGTCCCCAACCGTGTACCAAATTTGAGCGCAATCGGCCCAGCCGTTCTCGAGATCTGGAAACGCCCCCTGCACGTGCGCACGTGCAGTAGCACCCTAACCGCAACACATGGGAATGCATTGCCTGGTGGGTGCCTACCTGTATGCCAAGTTTCAGCGAAATCGCCCCAGTAATTACCGAGTTACGGAAATGGGAACAAATTTGGCACCTCTTATTGTTGTATTTTGCACGTGCACTGGGGGTGACCCACATGCATCGAGAGTATCCTAGTTTGGGTAGAAGGGATGCTGCTACCCTACAAAAATTACCGCAAGTCAATCGCTCAAGCGGCTGCTGTGATATGAGCCTCTCAAAATCACTACTTTTGCAAAACAGCTTGAACACCCTTGACTTTTCACGTGGCACGTGCCACGACGGTCACTGAGATGTATCAAAAGTAGTCAATTACGGGGTAGAAGGGATGGGGCTACCCAACAAAAAAGACCGCAGGCCAATCGGTCCAGCGGTTGCTGAGATATAAGCCTCTCAAAAGCGTTACAGGCCGGGCCGGGCCGGGCCGGGCCGCTCATACTGAGATTTTTCCGTTATATTGAAAAGACTCACTTCGCTCGCTGCGCTCGCTCGCTCGTAATCAGACACGAGCACCTCGATGCGATGGATATTTTTTCCCAAAACCAAAATGCTTAGCCGTCAAAAGGCAATCGACCGTAATGGATACATAACCCACAGACACAAGACCAACCAAACGCCCACCGATCGAAAATACCCCTTATTCGCGTTGCGAAGCAAGCGGGTCACCCTAGCGGGCCCCATTCACCCGGGGGCTCGGGCCCTATCCACATGGGGGACCAAGCCCTATCCATACGGGGGCCCGGGCCACGTTCACCTGGGCTCCGGGCCTCGTCCACCCGGGGCTCCGGGGCCCGCCCACCAGGGGGCCCGGGCCCCATCCAGCCGGGGGCCCGGGCCCCGTCCACCCGGGGCCTGGGGTCCGTACTCCCGGGGGCCCGGACCCATCCATCGGGGGCCCTGGCCCCATCTACCCGGGGGGCCGTGCCCCATCCACCTAAGGGGCCCGGGCCCGTTCTCCCGGGGCCCGGGCCCCATCCACCCGGGGGCCTGTGCCCTATTCACCCAGGGGCCCGTGCCCTATCCACCCAGGGGGCCCGGGCCCGTTCTCCCGGGGCCCGGGCCCCATCCAACCGGGGGTCCGGCCCCGTCCACCCGGGGCTCAGGGCCGTTCTCCCGGGGGCCCGGGCCCCATCCAGCCGGGGGCCCGGGCCCCCTCCACCCAGGGGGCCCGGGCCCGCTCTCCCGGAGCCTCGGGCCCCATCCACCCGAGGGGCCTGGACCCGTTCTCGCGGGACCCGGGGGTCCGGGCCCCGTCCACCCGGGGCCCGTTCTCCCGGTGGCTCGCATCCATCCACCGGGGCCCCATCCGCCGGGGGGCCCGGGCCCTATCCACC